TAACAGCTGGCCTTGGGGTAAAATATATTAAAGCTATGTCTCTCTACTCTATCTTGAGGCTTGCATCCGTTCTAAATGAACCAGTTACTGTTTGCTTACAAATTGGTAACTGGTCAATTTACCCAAAATGGTTGAATGATTGAGTCACTAAGACTATGTCTATGTTGCCATGTATCCTGATAACTTCAAGGAACAGATGTGCTACTAATCATAGAAGGAGTGATAAGCATTCAGCTACTTTGGTCATAATGGTATGTATGACTTTGCTATATATTTTTGGTTCCCAGATGCTGGCCACATCAGACTCACCTGGGATTTGTAAGCTGGGTTTATCCCAGGACATGGAGTCAAAGGTCTGGGGTGGGGAGTAGGACTGCATTTTACAGAGCTTCCCGTGTCATGCAGCTTTGTTTGCTGGCGGATCAGCAGTGTAATCCAGGCCCTAACCCTGTAACCCCGCTGAAATCTTAAATTGGAGTCAGTCATTCCGCCACAGGCTCTTCACTGTGATTCCATTGTAATCGACAAGAGAATGAGTGTCATTAAGGATAAAAACATCTATTTGAACACATAGGTCTTCAATAATTCATCACAATAAAAAGACATTTTAAGAAATACTGCATAATACAATAATGACATTCTAAAATTTGCTGTGGCAAGGAAGTCAGAGTGTGAAAGAGGCATATTTAGTCATTTTGGTCCTTGTTGTCAACTCACTTCTGGCCTTGATAAATTGGGCCACAGGTCCGAGACAGGCCAGTCAGGTGGCCCAGGGGTCTAAGTCCCCAGTACTTGTGATGCTCCATCTGGGTTTTCCAGCCACATATTCATAGCCCCAACTCTCTTTGAAAGCAAAAGGGCAGTTCTGCACATTCAGGGAGAAGTAGAGGCCAAGCAGATACTTTTGCCTAGCACATTCACACAATTAGGGGGAAACAAAGGTTTAGGGATCTAGAACTATACAGAAAATTGCACAGTCTGTCATTTTGCACATGAAAAGCCAGCCCAAATTATTCCGTTATTTGCCCATCTTAGTACATTGAACTAAATGCAGTAACACAAAGTCTGCTGTTGAAATTGTTTACAATATGGAAGGCATTGACAAAGATGTTTCTTACCTCAAGGGCCCCAGCTGAAAATTACACCTATGGAAAAGTACATAACCATTTATTTCGGTATTCAACTTTTAAATTATGCATACATATCACTAAAACAAGGTTTTATTAAGATGAATAGATTATTGGAGAAGATTCCATCTGTCAACTGTGAACTGTTAGTAAATGAATTGTGATTTACCAGAATCACAATTTACCAAGAGGGTTTTATCTCATTTTAGGGGAGAATGTATGTTATTACCAGTAGACTCTTATATACCTAGGCAAGCATCTCCTTTATTATTTTGCATTGAGGAATACATAGTTTGGGAGGGATCTTTTTTTCCTCCTTTAGAGCCTTTGTAAGTTACTTTCTGTGCGTCTTGAACCCCAGACCAAAATCACTTTCCCTTTGAGCTCATCTTCCTTTGATACTGATAAGGCCAAGAAGTACTAGATGAGGAGTCATAATTTCTCCACTGATTATCTATACAATCTTGGGAAAATCACTCAGCTTCTCTGTTTCTCCGCTTGCTATTTGTAAAGTCAAGAATTAGGACTAGAGATGCTCAAAGGCTTTTCCATTTTCAGTGTCCTAGGGTTCTGCAATTCTGTCCCTGTTTCCTTTGGCCTCAGGTCAACACTTCTTTGCTATGTAAGAACATCTAATAATTAGTACTTCGCCCAAAGTCAGAAACAATACTCTTCTTTTCCTTGGCTTCCCCACCAAGTATGTTAGTCCTCGTATTCATGTTCATGGATAACTTGAGGCTTGGGCACAAGGAGGCTGAGGCAGCCTCTCCTTTTGCACATTCTGGCTGCTAGCCCCATGATCAGGTGCCTGACATCAAAGTCACAGACACATTGCACAGTAGTCACAGCCGGCACTGCTAGGCACATGACACTACTAACCACAAGTACTTTTATAAAGGTCAAGGGCATTTAAGACATGGGAGCAAAGGCAGAGGAACCATAGATATTTAATCATCAGGTATGCAAAAGATATGGGCATGGGAGGCATTCTTGATATCACATTTTAACTCTGCCTCCCTTGGAATTACGTGTCTGCACATGACATTCAGATCAACTGATGAAAACTGAGGGACTAGCATCAAGCAGGTTGCTAAATGCCTGTGGGTTGTTTTCCCTGTGTAGCTGAATTGGTCATTTGCATTGGTGTCATGCGTAGATAGCCTTGGGGGCTTTATGGTGAAATGTATTCCAGTAGCTGAGGGTGGATTCTGCCGTGAATATCTGCAAAGAGGAAAGGTTCTGACAGAAGAGTGCGCTTAACCTAGAACCAGTAAAGCAAGGGCAGTGAAAAGCCAGATGCTCAGCTACAGATCCTGTCTTCCCAGTTCACTACTCTTGAACACATAGCCCAGAAGTTCTGGTTACTTCCTCTACTGCCTTTCATATAAGAGTTGGGGCCCACCAACTCTTTTGGTCATGGCAGTGGTTATATACATCTTTGAAATATCCTTTAAAAACAAAAAGGGATTTTGTATGATCAGCTAGAGGTTGTTTATTTCTATGATGGGACTGTAGGTAGAGGCATAACTAACAATAAAAATAACAGTAAAAGCTGCTATATTTTGAGTGCTTCCTACATGCTGAAAACAAGGATAAATGCTTTACACACATATTGCATCTAATTTTTGCAATAGGAGGTAGACAGACTGTATATAAAGAATTTATAAATTATGAGAATTGTGGTTAACCACTATGGGAGGGCTTAGAATTTTCTTCAGAGATTTTTAAAGAAAAGGGAAGGATGGTCCTTTTGGATCATCCAGGAAGTTCTGCCTGGAAACAGGGGATAAACCTGATCTCTAAGCCCTTCTAGTTCTGGAAGATAAGTCTGTTTCCTCAACATGTTGAGTCCTTGTGAAAGTGATAGATGGAAGTGATGTTGGAAGATGGAAAAGTCCTCTCACTCTAGATTAAGATGGAACCAAGGAGAAAATGAGATTTAAAAAAAACCAACAAACACATAGCATTATGATGAGATCTAAATTAAACGGTCTACCATAGACAAGTTAACTGGTTTTATGGATTCTGGTTCTTTGCGTTTTTAACCTGCCTAGTTCGAAAGTGTCTACACATGTATATTTAGTGAAATCTAACAGGCATATTGGGATTAAAACTCTAGAGTCCAAATATGGCCTGTGTAATATTGGCATTAATATCACTTAGCTGTAACCAAATGAACTAAGTGTTCAGGAAGAGCGAACTAAACATTTGTCAGTTATCAGTCTCACAGAGATCCTAACAGAGCACAGCACGAGAACTGTAGGACTGTCCTCTTTAAAGTGACAGGGAGAAAGCACATTCTGCTTTTGCTGTGCACCAAATTATACCACTGAATTAAAAAATTTAAAAATATTTCCCATTCTAATTATTTCAAATATCAAGCTATTTTAGTGTATTCCATTTTGAAATATCCACTCCTAGTCCTATTTATTTAGATGACTGCCATCCAGGAGTGTTGTAAGATGTGTTACAATTGGTTTGGATGGTTTTTCTTTCATTAGTGAAGATCTGTATCTATGTAGGCTTCTCTGATTAGCTTTTCTAAAAAAATTAAAACCAGACAGCTTCCCTTTAGAACCAGGCAGAACATGAACATAAGGGCTATGTTTTTCCTTATTGTATTTGGCTTAATTTTAGGCTTTATTATATCTTCTCAAGGAGTGGTAGTGAGCTGATTACAGAACCACAGCAATTATTTTAAACAGTATTTATAGCATTGCAAGAAATCTAGATGAAATTTCTGGAAAAGAACAAGCTACCCCACCCAAATGTATTACAAATATGCTTGACTGGCATTTGGAAGGAAGAAAGACACTCTTATTAAAATTTAACATCAACTTGGCCAGACTTGGGGCTGAATTGGAAGAACAAAGTGCTGCTCAGTGAAAAGCCAGGGATGGGAGTGATGTGATTTCTACTCCTGAGGCTGAAATAATGATAAAGACAATGGCCTGATAATTCCTTCATGGCAGGTCTACACATCTCAACTTCCAAGAGTTAGTTGTACCAGATCTAGCCCCTACACAATGGCATTTCCTTTAGAAATGCTTAATTTGTAGATATACTGGTCTAATTTCAGTGGAAAGAGGGAATATCCAATGTCTGCAATTGTCTTCAAGAGAGCAAATGGTTCTGGAGCGGCACTGGTGGACACAGTAATAGTGAAGATTACCTCATCTGAGCACTAATGACATGGGGACCTGGCCTGGCCAACCTTGAAGCTTCTGCTCTGCTTGAGTCCTGCTGGTTTTTGAAGGCTCTGAATGGGCAACATGTAAAGTATTATAGCACTTTAGGATATACAGCATCCATAACAACTTCTAAGTATTCTTATTCCTTCTCTCTGTGTCCCAGGCCCTGAAGCTGACTCATTGCTCCTATATTCCGGGAGAACTTCCAGCCCAGTGCTTGGGTTGGGATTGTGGGAGGCACTAAACCCAGGCTGGAATGCCCTTGCAGATGTGGAAACAGAATGGTTTGCCACAATAGCACTCTGCCAGGTGCTGCGGACCCATGGCACAGGCTTTCTTTGTAACAGTGAAAGATGCACTGCCTTGTGTGCCACTTGCCTCAGAGGGACAACTCTCCTGTAGAATGACTGTCTAGACTAGTGAGAACTTTGTAAAAGGCATTTCTTAGAAAAGTATTCGTAAGAAGATCCATCATGATTCGCTCAGTTTGTCATGAAACATCAAAGTTACCCAAAGCATTGAACACATCGAATACGGATGCAACACATACAAGCAAAGCTAATTCACTATGATTCCTAGCAAATTATTAAACTCCATGGTGGTGGGGTAGGGGAGGGGTTGTAGGGGGGGAGAGAGAGGGAGATAGAAGAAGACAGGGAAAGAGGGAGATAGAGAAGGAGAGATGAGATATGCAAACCAATTTATGTTTCCATTTTGAAGAGTCCAGTCCCACACAGGAAAAAATAAATCCCGCCCCAACCGACCAGGGGACTCTCAATTTGAGGACGGCATCTGAGCAAAGCTGCAGAACCTCCAGCTCTAGTCCTCATAAAAACTGGGAGGCAGTGTACTGTTAAAATACAAACATGGAAGTACTTCAGACCATTTCATTAGCAACACGGTTCCAAACGCAACATCCCCTTCATCAGTCGGGTTTAAATCATGTGGCTTCAACACATTGGCCCTGCCAAGACCCTTAGGAGAGCAGTGCAAAAGAGGGAGAGACGACTTCTTTCCTTCACATGGCAGACAGTCCTTACGAGAAATTCTCTAGGGTTCTACTCTGACGACTATTCAATTTGATTTGGGGCACTTTTTAAACCACCATTTGGCACTTTCTGTTCGAAGTTCTTAGGCACAGTGTGACAGAGTCAGCTTGGTGAGCCCTTCCCCGTGCATTCGGTACAGCAGCTGAAACTCAGCAGGCAGCTGGTGGGACTCCTGCCACTTGGTGGTAAATTTGGTTCCTTTTTTGTCATAGTAATGGTATGGAAGATCTTCCCTTGTGTTGGGGTCAAATCCAAAAGGCCAAAATCCATACAAATGGATCTCTTCACATATTGCTGATGCAAGAGTGTACATAAGAATACCTGTGCTCAGCCGTTTGGGTGACAAATGTTTGTTTTTCCAGTACCTGTGAAACAATAAGTATAGGTCGATTCAGAGGCCAGTGTTGAAGGTTTCGAACAGAGAGGTCGTTATGACTGGGTTGGGAGGTCAGTTTGTCCAAGCAGCTTAGACAGTACTTGCTTTGAATCTAGGTTTTAGACCACAGAACACCTCTGGGTAGGAGTAGCGACAAAATTTGTGAGACTGCATGCAAAATGAAAATGTGGGGCTTCATTTGAAAATGATTGAGAATTTCAAGAGGACGGTAGCAGATTATTAAACCAAATGCTGTGCCCTTCTGAGAGTGGGTTTCTGTGTGAAACACAGGTGGCACATGTTTGAAGCTGACCCTGCCTCTTTGTTGCCCTAGGGGGCAGTGGCTCTGACCCAGTGGTGACACCACAGAGACCCATGAGAATGACAATGCTTCTCATACCCCAAGGGACCTTGGAAATGGGGAGAGCGTTTTTATTCTAAAGGGACCTCCTGTGTTACCTCTTTACCCAAACCTGGAGAGGAAATCCTCCTCCTTGGGTTTGAAAAGACTGTGGATCTTATTTTTTTATACCTTCTCATTAAAAAAAAAAGCCCCATATTCCTTGCTCCTTTGTCTTCTGACTAGGGGATTCTCAAGTCCTTTAGCATGACAGGACCTAAGAAAAATATTTATACATTTTCTCAACTTAAGAAAAAAGAGCCATATTATGGTTGCTGTTCCTTCCATATTTAGACAGTATGTTGAAGCCTTCGTTCCTACAGTGCCAAATATTTGGGGCTGCTGTGGTGGCGTGTGTGTGTGTGTGTGTGTGTGTATCATTGGCTGTATAGACAGAACTATACTGTTCATGAGTCAGTTTTCTGTGGATTGTATTTTTTCCAAGTTTTCATTGAACCAATGTGTTTGGTTAAAGCCTGAGGGTGGGGGTCACTCTGGCTAACTCTGTGGACCTCTGAAAGGTTAGGGGCAGAGTAGGCCACAAAGGCCAGTTCCATCAAGTTCCTGAGCACATCCAGGTCCTTCTTCTTTACTTGAAGGCTTTAAAGATAATCCTTTCCCATTCCATTTGAAATGTAAACATTCAGTCTCGATTTTAACATCCTAACTTATGGAGTTAGAATGACTAGTGGCAGTTCTTTTGGTACAGCTGAACTCAAATAGAGCGATAGGGGAGCAAAGTGAAGAGGTCAAAATATCACAGGAGAGGCTGGCTTCTCATTCTGGTCTGACCCTTTTTGGGCAATGACATTGGGTAAGTAACTCCTGTTCTTTGTACTTTAGTTAACTTGTCTTTAAACTTAGGAGTTGAGCTATATTACCTCTTAAAAAGGTAATTATACAACCTGGGAAACTGGGACAGTCCCAGTTTTTGTCTGTTACCCTCCATTTTAATTAATAATAGTGTCCTCTTTCTCTCAAAGAAAAAGTTTCAGTTTGGACTATAAACAACGGTGTCACCCTACCTGTTAGATACATGTCAGTTTATTAGATGGAGATTCCTCCTTCTATGAGAGGTCAACCACACAGACCTCAAATTTGGAAGACTCTAGAGGACTATAGGATGAGAAAAACCTGTGGAATTACCTGCTCTCACCAGGCCTCCCAGAGTCCGCTGTAACATGTAGTACTATCTGGACAGTATGTTAGGACATTTGGGCTACTTGCATATGGAGAAATTAAGAATTGAAGCAGTTTCTTCAGATGATGTAAAGAAAGAAAATATCCTACAATTAATTATGCTTTATAAATTGCCCCTGGATTAGTGGTTCCCAATTCTGACTGCATATCAGAATCCCTTGGGGAGTTATAAGGCATCCCAAATGCCTGTCCCTACCCTCCTCCTCCACCAGACAAAGAACATTAGAATTTCTTGAAGTAGAGCCCAGGCAACAGTGTTTTAAAAAGTTATCCAAGTGATTCTAATGGACAGCCAGAGTTAAGACTCATTGGACTAGACAAAAATATTGCATTTCTGGTCAATCTGTCTGTCAAATTACAAGGGATAACAATGAGTTTATAAAAACCTTTTCACATATTTTGGCACTCAAATCCCAAATTACAAAGTCACATTATGCAATTCATGAGTTATCTAGGTGTTTGTCAAATTTTGAACACCTATAAAACACCCAAATGTCAAATAAAATGGAACATTTTAAGTCAGTTGCATCTTTAAAAAATGCTTCATTTGTCTAATTTAGCAGTTGGCATCATTGGGACATAGCTATCCATGTAAAGAAAACTCTTGATCTGTGGTGATTTCCACGACCACTCATTGGGTTTGCCACCGAGGTAGAGGACAGGGCCCAGAAGGGGGAGGCTGATGAACCACCAGTCCCCACACTTGGCACTTAGTGACCAGCTAGGGGTAGGAGATTGAGCTTTTTACCTAGAATGATTCATTCATTTATCACAAAACAAAGGAGTTATCCCTAAACTACTAAGCTAACCGCAACAACTAACTAATCAGATAGCTCCCACCCCCAAGAGATTACAATATTGATTTGCCATCTGGTGGGGTATGAGTTAAAGGCAATAAAATATACACACCTGTTGACATGTTGCATTATATTCCCAGGCCAAGCCAATTGGACCTTTAACTGACCTCTGTGTTCAACAAAAAAGTCAACTAATGTCCTGGTAACAGTTGCTGAAGTGTGGAAGAAAAAAGCAGGGATCCAAAGAATGGCCCCATCGAGCTTTTTTAAACTGAGGAAAAAGTTGTTACGGTCCTGAATGGTCAAAAGGTTGTTGTAATATTTTTCCAGGATGCTGGGGTTGAAGGTGGTAAGGTTGATTTTTCTTCCAACATCTCTTTGGAAAGCCTCCGTAGGGGCGAAATTGCAACGGAAAACAAAATCTGACTTATCTATTTCTTGTCCACACCGGCTCCCTGTCAGGATCCCACTATTTCCAACCACAGCACAGATATTATAATGCTTATTCACAATGGGTGACACATCTGGAAGCAGCGATCGGAAGTTATTGCTAATAGAGAAAACATATTTATGGTTGGAATAATCATAGTGCATCAGTTGTCCAATCCGAACACTATTCTTGGTCAAAGAAAAATTTTTTATTACATCGACATGCTGAAGAATTTCTTGCCTAAAATAAAAAGAAATTCATTAAATGTATCCCATTCAAAATTGATTTTCCATCTCACGTCTTATGCTGCCATTTTATTTAGACAAGAATCATTGGCACACCGAATCCAAGAAAGATTATACAATCATAATAATTGTGGTCTTTGAGGGGAGACTGTTTCAGAATCTACATGTGTTAATCTCTCAGTCAACTTGTGGATGAAATCCTTTGAGGCTTGTAAGTGTTGTAACTTACAGCGTTAGCTGCCATTCTTTGGTTTTCTGCTCTACATGAAGGGTGTATTTGATTATGGGGAAAGCACAAGCCAAACTGTGTCAGAAAATACAGGGAGACAATTTACACAGGCCCCAAAGAACTTACCCACTACTTAAAGTACAAACATTGGTGACTTAGTTTGTAACTAAGGACTGCTTGTTTGCTACTGGACTGCAGAGTTCAAGGAATATCAAATATCACTGGTGTCCAAGAGCCAAATAGATGTGAGTCAGTATAGTACTATCTATTATTAAAATATGAAAATGGTAATAGCAGTTGAATATTTAATAGAAATGAGATGATAATCTCATTAAGATCCTTTGAATAATGAAACAGGGATATATTTCTACTTGACTATACAGAAACACAGTTTAGCTGGAGATACCTAATCCTCAGAAAAAGAGGCTATTGTAAATCCCCCAAAAATGTGTTTATCCTAAGAATTCAGAAAATAAGCAAGGCAAGGGTGATACTTGGCACTAATTTTAGGTTGCTTTTATATTGAGCTTTAAGTAAAATTAAGCATCTCTTAACGTCTCAGCTATTTAAAATATTTAAGAGAGACTAGTAACATGTTACTTTACTAATAGATTCTCCAATTTGAAGAAATCACATCAAATTTTATGTCTTTTGCATAAAAAATAGCAGAACTGAAATTAAATGTTTTGCGTATCATCACTTTACCTAGAATTGTATTTTTAATAATTCATTTGTCAATTTGGAGCAGCATAAACTGAAATTTCAGCTTTAATATAAAACTTCCAAAGTTGCCAATACTGTTCTTGACAAGCTGTTAAACAAAGGTAAAATGAGTTTAAAATGATGTGGAGAAACTAAATTAAAGATTACCAAATACATGGTTTAAATGAGAGAAGTGTCGAGAAAAAAATATTGTTCTGGCTGGTCATTTGGGTCATATGGGCCAGTGTAGGAGAGTATTTGGGAAAAGGTATAATTTGTTCTACCCATTAAAGTTTTCCAGGTTTTCTATAAAATTGATACTGGATTAAAAACCCAAAAGTTTAAAAAAGCACTTTTGGGGGTTTAGAATTAATCAATTATTGTCATAGACTAATTTCTAATTAAAAAGTGTTTTAAAAGTTTTAATCATAATCACATGATGATGTCAAAAAAGTATGTCAGTTTTTTAAGTAAACAACATTTTCATGACACTGTGGATATCTACTAAATTTGTTTTAATTCTGTCAGTAAGTAAAAAAGTAAGAGAGAGGCCAATAACTAGAAATGCTGTGACCAAAACACAGTCCCCTAAATAGACTGGTAAAATAATTATTTAAAATAAGTATTTATACCACTAACCCTTAATGAATACACTAGATTGCCTACATTCCATTTAGGAGCATAATAATATAATAACGACACCAAGAAGGGGGAAGAAATGACTTATCTGGAGTTGCTAAAAGTAGACCAGAATCACCAAGGAGAATAAATAAATTTCAATAAGTCTCATCCTTCTTCCCCACCTCATAAAACCCCACCAAACCCTAAACCCAAACCTCAACTGCTACCCCTCCCCTCAATCAACTCCTTCAGGTATAAAGGACTCTACTACAAGACAGTAAGAATCATGTGGAGTAGCTTTTAAAATTAAAAGCTGTTATAGCTTAATGGAAACAAACAGGCAACACCAAAACAAAACCATACTTAAATACCTGCATATAATTGGACCAAAGTAATTTGATAGGGATGGATTATAGTATTTTCTGTGTGTTTCAATGAGGCAATGCTATTTTATTAAAAAATTTTTTTCAGTAAAAGAATGAAAATGCATTGGGTAGTCTTTTTACAATTAATTTTTTTTTAAAAAAAATAGATGGTTTGGGCAGTGTTAGCCATGCATATTAACTATAAATCATGATGCTCAACTAAGCCCAAGTTAGGGAGGATATTGGAAATATTTTTTTCTTCCATTCAAATTGGTCTTCCTGATGTTTCTTTCTTTCTTTCTTTTTTTCTTATTTTTTTTTTGGTGAGAGGCATTGCATACAGAAAGGGTTACCAATCGGCCTTTGTGCAGTCAGGCCAAGAAGACAAAGCAAATACATCTCAGGGTGGGAGACAGAACTTTGCTGTTTTGATTATTTCTTTTTTGAGCTCTAGAATTAATAAACAACTTTTGGATCTTTTCCCCCTATCCTACCTTTGACGTAAAAATGCCGTCCGATTAAATGTCCACTTAGAAGGTTTCTCTTGGAGTTCGTGGGTCAGAGAATTCGTAATGGGCACAAATGACGGATTTAGAAACTTCAGCGCAAACTGAGACCTGGAGAGGAGTACGAGTACAGAGAGACATGCGGGCCTCGGCTGGGGGAGCTGCGAGCCAGCAGAGGCCTGCCGGCCGGGGGCGGGGCGGCGGGCGCTCGCACGGGCGCCCTCCCACCCCAGAGGCCCCTCTCGCCGGTTTCACCCTCTGCTCCCCCCACGCACTCGGTAGTAGGAAGAAAAAAATCCAGGGAAATCCGTTTCCATTGTCCATCCCTCCGGGTGCGGGAGAGACCATAAAATGGCCGTCTGCGGAGCACAGGGGCGGGAGCGGGCTGCTGGAGCCTGATGCGCAGTGAGGACCGCGGAGTCAGCACCGCGGACAGCGGCCCGCGCCGCCCGTGGTGGACCCGCGCAGTGAACTGGCTTTTGGAGAAAGGGCAGAGAAAACCGGAGAGCTAGGGGAAGGCTGGGGGGTGGGTCCTGCCTTAATCTCTTCCTTCCCGAGTTTAGGTCTGATTTCATTTCCAGTGTTGTGACTGGGGGTCCCCGGAAGCCACCGGCCAGCTCTGCTCTTCGCCCAGGTGGGGCTGCCTCTAGGTTTTGCACCTCTGGCCAGGCTTGGACCACAGATGGCAGCTTGTATTTGCCACCCGCCCCATCAGGTGGCTTTGCTGGGAGATCTCCTAGAGGTCAAAGGTAGGGGCAGGGGTTCCCCGTGAGTGCGCCGAGCGGCACCTGGCGCCTGCCCCCGGCCCAGTCCAGCCTTGCTCCGGCAGTTACTTAGAGCTGGGGTGAGGGTAGGCGGCCCTTAGAAGGGCGGGGGAATTTCAGAAAAACTGGAAAAGGGAAGGGGAGGAGGGGTGGCAGCCTGGGTGAAAGGATCAAGGGTCTGGTAAGACTAGACCTGCAGGACAGTTGATGGTGTTGGCGGGGGCGGTGAGGGGGAGTGGAGAGGATTGCCGCGGAGTGCAGCGCCTGCGCCATTTAATCGCCTCTGGACCAGGCAGAGCCCAGCCTCGGAGTGGAGTCCCCAGGCAGGGCCCAGGGAAGGCGCTCACCTCAGCACGTCCATCTCCCGGTTCACCTCCCCCTCCCAAACACACACAGTGCCTCTCCCAGCACGGTCGTTCTCCTTAAATCCTATCCCCATTTTGGAAGTGGGGGAGGGGATGCCGAGGAATACGAGAAATGCAATCACATCCATTAGTACAACGGAGTTTAGGGGTTTGGGATTAAAAAATAAATAAATAAAAGGGAGGAGGAAGGGAGAATCGGAGAGGGGGGGAAGGACCACACAGTTTATCTGGCCCAAAGTGTCTCAGAGAACCCTAACATCCCCTCTCGTCGCCTCCCCCTCCCCATAAACCAGATGCCCGAGGGCGCTGAGAGGCCCTCACTCACCGGAATCCCGCGTGGAACATGTACATTCGGGGCGCCCCCGGGCTGGCGTACTTGGAAGTGGTGAAGATGTTCTCCTTTTTCAGGGACACGTAGCTGATGAGCGATAAAATCAGCAGGGCAACGCTGAGCATGACCAGCCCCAGCACACTGGCGACCCGGGCCATTTTGCAGTTTCTCATCCCGGGCTGGGCTGGTATCAGGGACAGCAGGGAAATCGGTCCATTGAGCAGCCAGCAGCTCGCTGGCGTGTCAGTGTGTGTGTGTTCGCGCGCGTCAGCGTGTGTGGCGGGGGAGGGGACTGGGCCGGGGAGCCACGGAGGCAAGTGGGAGGTGTGGGGGCGGGCTGGGGAGCCAGAGAGAAGTGGGACCCCTAAGGCTGGGGCGAGCGGGGCGGCAGGCCGAGCCGGAAGATGGAGGGTCTGCGCTGCGGGCCGAGCCGGAGCACGCAGTGCTGTGCGTCTCTGGCCGCAGGCTCAGGCTCCCCCGCGCGTTTCCAGCGAGGCTGCCATCTCCGCCGCCGCCTGCAAGATAAATGTGATTGGAATAATGTTACAGTTCGATCTAAGCACAGGATTTAATTAATGAACTCTAATCTCCCAAATAACCGGGGGAGGGGCGAGGGAGGAGCGGGAGAGGGAGGAGTGTAGGGGTGGTGGTGGAGGGAGGGGAACTGAGGCTGGAAGGCGGCAGCCTACTTCTACAGCCTCCTGCAGAGGGGGCGGGTGGGGAGCTGGCTTTGGATAGACAGAGGCCCAAACTTAGTTTAATGGACTATTTGTTATTTTATAAATATATTGCAGAATAGGGAGACAGATGGCTGGATTGGTGTCCTGGAGCGTACACACCAGTCAGGAGCTCCTGAGACGCAGGGGGAGTAGTTTTAGGAAGGCAGATATTTAAAAGCTTCTCTCTTCACCAAGAAGGCACTGCCCTAGGTCCTATTGGGTAGCACTCTCTCCCTTGCACCCCAGCAAGGAAATCCTAACCAGCGGCTGGCCCCACCTCACTTGTGAGTACTTAAACCTTCTTGGAATTTTCCAGACACTCTCATCTGCCTCCTGTGCTCACTGCATACTTTGCTCCTCTCCAAAAGATGGGTAGTGCTTCATAAACTACTGGCTCTCCCTCCTCCATCCAAAGCCTGGCCTGGCAGATGTGAGGGCCTGGGCACACAGCAGGTGGCCAGCAGGGTGTGGCCCTGATCTCACAAGGCCCAGAGTGGTCATCCCTGATTTAACTCTGCTATCTGCGCTTTTCTGACCCACCCCTGTGGCCAGGCATTGAGGACGGGCCATCTAATGTAGTCCTGAGAAGCCTAGAAGCTGAAAGCATTGTAAACCTTGTCTGTTATACTCGCAGAACTCCCTTTTGAAGGAGCCCAAGAACCAGGTAAAAGAGGCTGCCTCTGTGGGTACAGAGGAAGCTCGTTGCCTAATGCTTTGTATTCCTTGACTTTCCATTTGTTTTAGCACATTCATGTGTTGCCTGTTTTAATATCCATTGGGAAAGAAAATTAACCCATTTACAGTCAGGCTGTTGCTCAGAGCAAGCCATATGCTTCTTTATCTCTTTTGCTTGCGAGTAGCTTGTGGCTTCCTCCACCCCAGCTTTACTTTTGGCTTGGCCCTCTCAGTACCAGTCAATAAGCACTAATGAAAGAAGCTGGAGATGAGAAATTGGCCTTCCAGTGCTTCTTCAACAAAGCAAGTTGATATTTTCCAAGCTGGTCCTGCTTTCCTTCTCTCCTGAACTTCTTGTCTTACTGGCTTTGGTGGAACTAAGGTTATGGTCTGTCTGTGGGCTATGCTCCCCCCAAAGGGTGAGCCCCTGGGCTGTAAGCTCCTGCAGAGCCGGAGCCATGGCTCCTTCCTCCCTGTTTCTACACGCTGCCCAGCAGCTGTCTCATTGGAGGGCATGCTTAGTAAGTGCTCGAGGACCAGGTGAGCACCCCTGTGAAACTCATCTCTTTGGTTGAGGGCAGCGACACACCGACTGCAATTGTGTATTTCGGTCATTTTGTACACTCTGAAGACATTTTATACAAAAATCTAAAAATGTGGGTCAAGAGGACACAAATAATCTTTTTCCCATGGGGCATTTTATTATTTAAAAAATTTTAGAAAAGGTCTACACTTCTGTACATGATGAATAGTTAAACCATATCTTTGAATAATAATAATAATAATTTTTTTAAACAGGAGATCTTACGAATATAGTATAAATTGCCAAAAGGAGTAAGATCTTATGAGAGCTGCCTAGAAACTACATATTTTGGGAAAACTCTCCCTAAACAAGAAATTAGGGACCAAGCCCAGGGTACTGGTTACATCTTCCAGCTTTGGAGCCAGCAGACTTGGTTTTATGAGCTGACTAGGGCACCCGTGGGCCATGTGACCTTGGGTAAGTTGTCACCCTCTCTGTGCGTTGGGCTCCTCATCTGCAGAACCAGAATAAAAGCTACCCAGGGTTGGGGGAAGATTATACAAAGCATGTAAAGGCCTTGGCCCAGCTCCTGGCCTATATTAAGCAGTTAATAAATAGGAGCTAAATAGCTAGGGCAAGTTTTTAGTGTCTTTCTCTGTCCCATCTATGCACTACAAAATGCATAGGAGAGGTTGTACTTGGTGAGGCCTTTTCCTACAGAAAATGGCAAAGATTAACACATTCCTCAGTTCCCCTTATAAAACAGTGTTATCGGCTTTCCTGGGACCACTGATATGAACTCATTCTGACTGGATTTAAAATTTCATGTGTTACTTATTCTTAGTACACCTCCGTGAACCATCTAAGGAAAGTCCTACTAGGGTGCTTCCCACATTGCATGTGGGTCACTGAAAGTCATATGATATGAAAGTCATTTGGCCAGAAAATAAACAGGCAGGCAGGAGTCCTTGCCACAGATGCCAGGCCTAGAGGTGAAAGTGGATTGCTCAGTAATCAGAAATCAAGGTGGGGGGTGCTTCAAAGAGCAACTGCAGTTGCTGGACACAGGACTGTTTATGCCTGGGATTGTAACTACTTAGTTCATTAAAAATTAATGACAATATTTTTTAAAAGTCATCAAATTAGACCCGTACAAGAGGATAGGAGGGTGAAAAGAAGAAATACGAAAACAAAAGCCCCCTCTGATGTCATGTTTTCTAGGGGAGTTGTTTTGGACACAGTACTTCCCTCTCCCACCCCCACGAGAGCCCACCCTTTGCAAACATGTCTCTGTTGATGTGTGTAGTTCCTTACCAACCAAGAGTAACTTCCCCACATGGATGGGGAAAACTGGGAAGGGTAGTGTCTTTTGTTAAAGCAGCCTGGTTCATTCACTTATTCCTGTTTTCTTTAATCAATTTATTAGATAAAGTGTATTGGTTATCAGGCACTATGCTGGATCGATACAGGGGCTATAAAGTCATCCTTGACATCATAATGCTTATGGGCTTGTGGGGGAGTGAAGAGGAAGCAACCGGCAGGTCTGTGCGAGGAGCTCAGTAGCAGAAGGCTGAGGGGACTGGGGATGACCTCCGCCTGCAAGATTCTTCATAGAGGGCAGCATCTGAACTAGGTTTTAAAGTGGGAGTGGGTTCCATTAGGTAAGGAAGCTGCAAAAGAATATTCCAAGTAGAGGGGAGACAGGGAGGCAGGGAAGATAATGGTGGGCTTGGGGAAGAGCAAGAGGCATGAGGTGACTGCCACAAAAGACGAGCCTAAAGAGGAAGTTGGGGTCAGATTGTGAAGGGTCCCGGAAGACATGCTAGGGAGATGGCTGTATTCTCTAGCGGCGCTGCCCAGACCATCCAGGATTCATAGAGAGGGTCAGGCTGATCGTGCTGATTAGATGCAGGAGCAGCGGGAGTCAGGAGGGGATAGAAACAGTAGCTGCTCTCGTGGGTATCTGCTGATGCGCCCAGTGGCTCGCCAGCCTGTCTTTGTGCCAGAAGTATCAGTGAACCAATTGGCCACTTTCTGTTACGAGACACTCCCAAGTAAGGCATCAGGGGTTGACTTTTGGAAGGGCAAGTGACCCCTCCTCGACAACACAGAGATCGTCATCCAGTGAGCTTGAGGGGAGTCCCCTGGTAAGCTGCTCTTCTGCCACATGTGATTGGAGTTCTTTCTGCACATTATTGCCCGACTTCTTAGTTTCTGGTAGACCTAACAATGGCCACAGAGGAAAGATCTTGGAATCCTCTGGTTTCCACCTCCTGCTTCTTCACAGAAGATAAATACTTTATGAGTTCAGAGGTTGGAAAAGCCATTGTGGTCTAAGAAAGCTTCACAAAAGCTCTCAGATGGAACTGCGACTAGAAAGATGTGCGGAAGTGTCTGGGGTTGAGATAGGCGGGACAGGCAGGGGCACACAGACAGAACAGAAATGTGTGGGTGAAGGAAGGAAAGGCATGCTGAGGCCAGCGATTTGGTAAGCCCTCTGTTAGTACAGTAAGAATGGCCAGGATGCAGAGAGCTTGTATGGGCCAGGTGCTTTTTATACATTATTGGTAATCTTTGCTCCTGATCTGGCGAGGAAGGCATAATTATCCTCATTTTATAGTTGAAGAAACTGATATTACAGACTTGCTCAAGGTAAAAAGTCTCTTTAAAGTCCCCCGTTTCACTTTTGCATAGTGCTTATAAGCATGTCCTACAACAGAGCCAGAACAGTGTGTGTGCCTGGGAAGGCAGGAAGCCTCACCCTCTGGCAGTGAGAACCACTGATAGTACTGATGATGCTGATGTCATTTCACATTTAGTGCACACCTGCCCTGTGTCGGGCATTGTATTAGGCATTTTACATAACTGAGCTCATTCCATCTCTGTTTCATCCCTCCGAGGATAGGAGGGCTGCCGCCGTTTCAGGAATGAAAAACCGAGGCTCAGGGAGGTTCGGTGACTTGCCGGGCTCACACGGCTGGAGACGCCGGTGTGTTCCTTTGTACTCCAGGAGCCAGTGGAGCAGGGGCTCCAATCTTCCTCCTTCCTCATTGTAGGGTGCCCGAGGGAAAGAGTGCATACTAGGTTCTTTGAAAAAGCTATCTAATCCTAAGGGTGGAGAGGTGTGGACAACAAGAAAAAGACCAGAATGATACATCTGAAAGGCAGTGGACTTCTCTGGGACTGGGAGAATGCCGGGTAGGGCTGGAGCCTGGGGACAGACGGCCCGCCGCCCTGTGGGGACAGGCAGGAGTCAGCGTCTTATCTTCATTGTATCATTTAGTGCCAGCACAGTGCCCAGCACAGCTGGCACTGAGTGTGGAAAGAAGGCAGGGGACTTCTCTGCATTGTGCCTGAGGTCCAGGCATGGGAGAAGGTCGGTCTCCAGTACTGACTGATTGGAGAGAAAGATCATTTACTTCAGCTGGGATGCATGAGTTGGCTTGCCTACCGAAGAGACCGTGTTTAATTAGATTAATTGGTTAGGTAAGCTAGCTCAATATCAACACATGCACATAGTACGAATATAAAGCACAGGAGGGAGGCACTCCGAGCTGGAAAACTCCTTCTTGTCTTTATCTCTGTGGAGACAGCCAGTGTTGCCGTTCAGAGATACTCTATGCATCCACCAGCATAGGGATATATATTAAGTTTTTAAACATAAATTCTGAGACCAGTTTGAAATGATATTTATTTCAAGGTTTTTGTCTCTATCTTTACAAAAGACATTTGCATAATATTTTAATGTTTCAGACGTTTGCAACGATTACGTTTTCTAGAAGCTGAGGAATTACTCATTTGGTACCTATGGACGAATGCTTTCCTTAAAGCACTGAGGCATTTCTGTGTGAAAGGAACTTAAGAACTTCAAATAGCCTTTTCTTCATTGAATAAATAAAACATATTTGGAAAGACATCTTAAGGCTGAGGCCCAGTCCCTTGGAAATGCTTTGGAAGGAGCTATTATGTTCCATTGTGTTAATCTCCCGGGTCCTTGCATAGAATTTTGACTTTTCAAATGTTCGCAGTGATTACTTTTCTAGAAGCTAAGGTATTATACTTGGAGAAGCTACTTGAGAAATAATCTTACGTTTAGGTTTTAAGCTGTTCCCTGTCTATTGTGTCCTCTTACTGCGCTGACTGTGGTGTAGGAAATCGCCCCAGTTAGAGCAGGAGCAGTGATGGTCCCGAGGTACCGTCAGGGGGGCTGTTTAAAAAGAAATCTAATTTTAGTCTTTATCCTGAGTTTTTGGGCAATTATTGCCCCTTGTACTTCTGAAACTGTAATTATTAACAACACATCTTTGATAGCAGGGGGGAAAACCCACTTTTCGTATATTATAACAAAAAATGGTAAAATTTCCATGTAATTTTAAAGACTGTACTATCTTTTGCTGATTTATTGGTAAGTGCTGCTTCCACAGAGGAAATGGTAAGAACGGTTGAAGGATGGACCGACAAGGATCCCCTGCCCTGGCTCTTGACCCCCTCTCCCAATTATAAGTGCACACCACCCCCCTGAAGTTTTCTGTGTTCTGTTCATGGGGATAAGCATTCACTGGACTCCCCCATATTGAAAAACTCAGGCTCAGTGTGTGAGGGGAGAGATTGAGCTACGCTGTGTTTTAGAACATTGACTTCCATGTTCTATATCAAGTCCTGTTCCCAGTAATGCGGTATCACAGTGTTTTTATTCATTTCCATAGGTATGGGGAAAAAAGAACTCAGAGAGATTAAATAAGTTGTCCAAGTTCACAACAGCTTTTTAAAATAGGACCAAATGACTGCAAAATTATTTCTCTTTTTACCAAATCTTAGTGCCTCCTATGCTGGAAGCCTAGGGTCTATATGGAGGCATGAAAGATGCTTCTTTGTAGTGGGTATTTCTCATTTGAAAAGACAAAATGTGGTCTCTACCTTTGCTTCTGTACCCCTTTCTCCTCATGGTTTGCTTTTTACAAGGATGTTTGAACACAAGGAAGTGACTCTCCAATGGATGAAAGGATTGGTATAATCTTGTGAAGAATCTTTTATATCTTAGTTTCAAAATCCTATTTTGTTCTGTTTTATAGCTTTATATGCAAGAGAGTGTAAGACTTAGAGATGTCCAACCTTTTGCCCTCTCTATGCCACACCGGAAGAAGAAGAGTTATCTTGGGCCATGCATTAAATACATTGTGACATAGTAGTCACAAAAAAATCTCACAATGTTTTAAGTCAATTTACAATTTTGTATTGGGCCACAGTCACAGCCGTCCTGGGCTGTATGTGGCCCACAGGCCCCAGGCTGGACATCGCTGCGGCCTGTTGGAGATGGCGTAAGATGAGGGAGTGTCTGACTTGGGTGTCTGCACTTCTGTTTCAAGGAGGACAATTTTGAAGCAGGCCTTTTCATAGGTGGATGAGGTTGGTGGAGAGTATCGTAGGGGTTGCAGGCAGATCAAGAATGTCATTAGCACTTTCTCCCTGATAGAAACTGGAGTAGAAGGAGCCAGGCAGGCACAGAGGCGAGAGAAGGGTAACTGATCCTCCCCACGATATCCGTGATGCTAACACCAGTTATCTGACACCGGGCTCAAGTCCTGTGTAGAAGTTTGCCCATCTTTTTATTCTTGCTCTAAGTTCAGGCTGCTTATTAGAAAAAAGAAACCCAGCCATTATGTATGCCATTTCCTTGACAAAGAATTGTATTTTTACTGAGGGAAAGCATGAAACAAAAAGTGGGTAGGGAGCATGTAGCAATACTACTCTTCACACCTGTGATCATCCATGATTTAGAAAAGCGTCCCTATTGGAACTTAGTCACCACAAGCAGGACCATTGCTCTCCTGGGGGCAGGTGCTACCTCAAGGGCAGTCAGGATGTGGAAGTTTGAGAGCATTGCTGCTTTTTTTTAGAGACCTGGCATGAGATATTATACATAGGTAGGCATATTCAGGTACCTGAAGTAGTCCCCAAGGTGGTCACTGAATTCTGCTGCTGGTTTTGGCTCAGATCTTGGGCCATCCTTCCCCATCTGCCAGGGTAATTAGGCTTTTGTGACCCTGCACGATCGCCTACACTCACAGGTGTCTCTTAATTTCTCTCCTGCTTTTCCCATTTGCTCTAACAGTTGGGATTGACAAGTAAATGGGGACCTTATAACATTAAACTTACTTTTTAATATTTGTAGGAGCATCCTTCAGTATTGGATGGCTGTGTAGTTAGCAATTTTTAGGTAGGCTTTGCAAGCCTGGAAACTACATCTATTATATCCTCTGCAAGGCTAGCTGTGAAAAAGCAAGAGTTGCCAGCAGCATTAGACCTTCAGATAGTGGCTGTGAGCACTTATCAAAGGGCTCTCTCTTTGTGAGCTCCATGTGGAAAGGGACGCTGGTTCCACATAGGTCTTTACAGTTGATAATCGCTATCTTTAGGGCCATCTTTGGGGAGAAAAACTGACAACTGTATAAATCTTACATTTTTATAGCACTTCAATCTTTTTTCAAAGGACTCTCACATCTATTATCCCATCTTGACCTCCCAAGGAAACGGAGAGTTGGGCACAGCAAGTATTTCTATCCTGATTTCACAGATAAGACACAAGGAGGTTAAATCACACGGCAGGGCCAGAGATGGAGGCTAAACATCTATGTCGATGTTAAGACTGCTAGTCTACTTAAAAAAAAAAAGAAAAAGAAAAAGATGCTCCTTTTTTATTTTTGGCAATCTAGCTTCTAATGCTGAAATTGCTTTATTTAAAACAATGTTTCTCAATTCTACCTGCACATTTAAGTCACCTGGGCAGCTGAAAGTAATGCCAGTGCTGCGGCCCTGTCCCAGACCAACAGCATCAGGTGTCTCCATGTTTTTCTTTTCTCTATGTAAATAGTTAACTTTTTAAGATTTATTTGCCTTTCTCTATTTCCCTCTTTTTCTGAGAGATATAATCCAAATATTCTCAAGTACCTGCTTGTCTTAAAGCTATGTGGGTGATTTTGAAAGACAGTGTAGATCAAAAATCATTGCTAGAAGCAGACCAATGGCCACCTCTTATCAAATTCAATGGATATTTCTAAGCTACTGGCCTGGACCCATAGGATATTGATTCCTCCTTCTCCTTTTCTTTCCCCAGGTGTACAGGTGCTTTGTAAAATATATATTTTATTGGTTATACTATTACAGTTGTCCAAATATTTCCTCTTCTGCCCCCATATGCCCAGCACCTCTCTTCCCTCCAGCAATCACTCCCTTTAGTTCATGTCCATGGGTTGTTCATATAAGTTCTTTGGCCTCTCCATGCCCTATGCTATTCTTAACCTCCCCCTGTCTATTTCATACCTACCAATTATGCTTCTTAATCCCTACACCTTTCCTCCGATTCTCCCCCTGTCCCCTCTCAGCTGGTAACCCTCCAAATGATCTCCGTATCTATGACTTTGTTCCTGTTCTGGTTGTTTGCTTAGTTTGTTTATTTTAGATTAAATTGTTGATAACTGTGAATTTGTTGCCATTTAGTGTTCATAGTTTTGATCTTCCTCTTTTTCTTAAATAAGTCCCTTTAACATTTTATGTAATAATGACTTGGTAATGATGAACTCCTTTAGCTTTACCTTTTCTGGGAAGCACTTTATCTCCCTTTCCATTCTGACTGATAGCTTTGCTGGATAGAGTCATCTAGGTTGTAGGTCCTTGATTTTCATCACTTTGAATACTTCTTGCCAGTCCCTTCTTGCCTGCAAAGTTTCTTTTGAGAAATCAGTTGATAGTCTTATGGGAACTTCTTTATAGGTAACTCTCTGCTTTTCTCTTGCTACTTGAAGATTCTCTCTTAATCTTCCACCTTTGGTATTTTAATTTTGATGTGTCTTGGTATGGTCCTGTTTGGGTCCAACTTGTTTGGGACTCTGTGTTTCCCGAACTTGTATGTCTATTTCCTTTGCCAAGTTAGGGAAGTTTTCTTTCATTATTTTTTCAGATAAGTTTGCTATTTCTTGTTCTTCTTCTTATCCTTCCGGCAACCCTATGATTCGGATGCTGGTACTTTTGGAGATGTCCTAGAGGCTTCTTATACTATCCTAATTTTTTTTGAATTCTTGTTTCTTCATTCTGTTCTGGTTGAATGCTTATTTCTCCTTCATGTTCCAAATTGTTGATTTTGAATCCTGGCTTCCCCTTCACTGCTGATTCCCTGTAGATTTTTCTTTATGTCACTTAGTGTAACCTTCATTTCTTCCTGGGTTTTTTTTTTTTTTTACATTGCTGCCATACTCAATGAGTTCTTTGAGCATCCTGATCACCAGTGTTTTAAACTCTGCACCTGATAGGTTGGTTATCTCTACTTCATTTAGTTCTGGGGTTTTGTTCTGTTTTTTTCTTTTGGGCCATATTTCTTTGTCTCCTCAATTTGGCAGCCTTCCTGTGTTTATTTCTGTGTATTAGGTAGGGCTCCTTTGACTCCCTGTCTTAATAGCATGGACTGTTGTAGAAAAGGCACGTGTAAATTGTGTGGGGTGGAGGCTTACGTAATCCCCAGGGTGGGGCAGCCTGCTTCACTCCTTTGTGGCTGTGTGTGGGGGGTAGGTTCAGAGAGGGGAGAATGCTGCTTTCTGGCTTCTGGATGTTTGCCCAGCACTTACCCCTTTCCAGTCACTTCACTACTCCCCATATGTGACTGGCACCCTCCCAGCTGTTGCCCTGGTGCTGAATCACATGGTGAGAGGGTTTGTGTACATTCTAAGATCTCGTGGGCCCTTTAAGCAGAGTCTTCTGAAAACCCAGAAATTTCTTCTGCTGCCTCAACCCCAACAGGTTTTATAGCCAGAAGTTATGAGGATTTATCTTCCTGGAGCTGGAACCCTGCGCTGTGTGGCCCGGCCTAGGGCTGGAATCACTTGCTCCCAAGGTATCCCTCCCAATTTGTATCCACCACCCATTCTGCCGCTGCTGCTGCCTCTCTGTGCCACACCATGTCTCCTTGTCTTTCTGCCTGTCTCTGTGTCTCTGCCCCTCCTACCTGTCTGGATGAGTGTAGCTTCTTTAAGTCCTGGGTTGTTGGGCTTCCATACAGTTCAATTTTCTTACAGTTCCGAGTGCTATTTGTTTTGAAGTTTAGCTGTAATTTTCTATGTGGTTGCACAAGGAGACACACCATGTCTACTTATGCCTCCATCTTGACTGGAAGTCCTTTTTTAAAAATACTTTATTTATTTTTATAGAGAGGGGAAGGAAGGGAGAAAGAGAGAAAAACATCAATATGAGAGGGAGACATTGATTAGTTGCCTCTCGTCCATGGCCCCAGGACCAAACCTGCAACTCAGACACATACCCTGACTGGGAACTGAAACAGTGACCTTTGGCTTTGCAGGACAATGCCTCACCAACTGAGCCGCACTGGTCAGGGAAATTCTTCCTTTAAACTTGCTCCTCTTTTGGTTTCCATGAAATGACACTCTCTCAGTTCCCTATTCTTCTGTAATGGTGCTCTCCCTGTCTTATTTTCTCCTTCACCATCTTATCTCTTCCCAATTTACATGACTTCAACCTTGTTCTTTTCTCTGTATGGTCACACAAGGTATAGGGAATAGTGTGGAAGGTTGTGCAAAGGGTCATTTATTTTGAAAGGTTTGGACATTAGAATGTAAGCCATATAAGAGCAGAGGCTTTATTCTGATCACTGCTGCAGCTTGAGAACCTAGAATAATTCTAGAACCCGACAGACAGATGCCCAGTAGCTGGGTGAATGATCACATCTACTTGACTGAATCTCATATCTGTGTACAGCCCTGACCTATGTACACACTCCAGTCTTGCCCCACTAATGCCATCTCTTAGGTGTGCCACCGTCTCCTGAAACTGAAACTGTTCAAAAACTGAGCACAGCATGTTCCTTCTTCCTACAAAATAGTTTTTCTCAATGTTTTCCAACCATTTTCCTGTTTCCAGTAGCCTCATCGTTCCTGTCCTGGAAATCAGCTTTGAACCTTCTTTCTCCTGTACTCAGGCTTGCACCACGGTCTCCCTGTTTGGCTAACACTGCCCAGTGCATGGCCTCTGGGGGGCAGCTGTGTTGACTGCACTCTGGGTGCTGACTGGACTGGGAGTGGATCCGCCACCCCCTGGCTGTTTGCCCATATGGTGATTACAGAGAAAGGCTCTTAGTTCCCTTGGAACATGGAGGGAGAACTTGGAGAGCACTGGCTGGCAGAAATGGGGAAACTACCAGAGCGACTCAGGGAGTCAACTTCCTTGGATGCTAAATGGCGTTCTAGATTTGCGTTATAGAAATTTAGTTTTTCTTAATGTTGTTGGCATGAGACTCCACCCAGCCATAATCAATTATGTCAATGTCAGTACTACTATTTCTCCTTTGAAAACAGTATATTTTTCTCAATTTGCTTCTTTCTTTCTTTTTGTACCATTTAACCAAAGCCCTACCCACCTCACGCCTGAGCCAGCTAACAACTTGCTAGCATTCCCCCAAAGCGTGTTTGAGCCTACCAGGATACTGTGACTTCCACTAAATATTTAATGAGAACATACTGTGTGCCCAAGCTGTGTTCCATGCTCTGGTGATCCAGTGGTGAATGATACAACCAAGGTCTGTAGCCCTGGTACTGGTGCAGTAGGCCCTCTGTTCCCTTATCTACTCAAGGGCATTGGTTCAGCCCTTGTCTCCTGCATCATCAAATTGCTGCTCTCCCTTACATCACTCCCAACAGCCTTCCGACATACTTTTATTTCTTCTACATTCAAAAGAATGCTTCTTTTGACTCCCATTTTCTCCTTCAGTTACCACCCTAACTTTCTGTCTTTTTATAGCACAACTCCTCAAAAGAGTTATCTATTCTTTTTAATGTTAGTGAAGAATAATTGACAAATACAATTAAGTGTACAATGTGATGATTCGACACACATGTTTATTGTAGAGTAATTACCAAGATCAAGATAATTAACATATCCATAACCTCACATAGTTAACATAGTCATTTTTGTGTGTATGGTGAGAATGATTCAAATCTACTCTT